TTCAGAAAATTTTCTGAAGAAGGGTCTAGGCCCGAAACGTCAGCCTTCCTGCTCCTCTGATGCTGCTTGGCCTGCTGTGTTCATCCAGCTCTACACCTTGTTATCTCAGATTCTCCAGCATCTGCAGTTCTTACTATCCCCTGTCTACCCTTTCAGTTGGACATTTAGGGGTGCTCTTGTGGTGCAGTGGTAGTGTCCCTACCATTGGACTGGGAGTTCAAGTCCCACCTGCCCCAGAGGTGTGTAATAACACCTCTGAACTGGCTGCTTAGAAAAATAGAGAAGGGTGAGAGCAGCAGTGTGGGAAATGGAATGGTCAATGGGTTTAGTTATCAGATGGAAAGATCAAAACAAATGGCTAGTGATCATACCTATCAAGCATAATCCATGAGTAATACAATCACAAAGTAATTGAAAGCAAATTTACACGTCTCTGCCAACATTTTATAATCATTTCCCTCCACATGCACTTTGCCAGTAAAAATGTCTATGTTCAAGATGCGTATCACTTCTATGAAAAAGCTTCCAAAACGTCTCACTCTAACCCAATTAATTCAGTAATTCAGCTTTTTGAAGAAGGATTCTCCTGGTGCTCTAGCTAACATTCATCCTGAACCACCAATTTCATAAGAAAACTACCCTGATGTGTTGTCTCACAGGTACCTGATGGATCTTGTCCTGTGTCAAGTTTGCCTCCATGACAATACTAAATAAACATCAGAGACAATTCATTGCTCATGAGACATTCTCGGTCATTCTGAGGATATTTGAAAACAAATCCTCGATTCCAGTTTGCAACACAGTTGGGAGGATCTGTCTTTCTTGTCCAGTTGCTACAGCATCCGTTGCCACTGTACTGAGCAGGATGCTGGGCAAGAGTTGAAGATCTGTTCTGGTAACTGAGAACGATCTAAGAGGTGTTTCATCAGCTGGGATATCTATCTACATTCACAGCGGACAGACTGTGTTTGGCTATATCCCCATTTCTGCATAAGAGTTTTTCAGAAACTGAGATTGGTGTTGGGGCCTTCAACTAGGTTCAGCCAGGTAAACGTGGGAAATAGGAAAAGTAGGCCAGTTAGCTCTTGAGTTTTCTCCACCATCCAAGATGATCATGGCTGATCATCCGACTCAGTACCCTGTTCCGGTTTTCTCCTTTAGCCGGAAGAATTATATATAATGCCAAACCACCCCAGCAAATTGAGGCATATAAATAACAGAACACCAGCACTTCACTGGAGGCGCACTGATGATGTTACCTAGCAGGGTGACAAAACGTCTGCAACCAAACCCACCGGCTTGGCGAGCACGTCCACAACCTCATCCACAACCCAGGCTATAAATCTTCTCAAAAACTTTATGTCTAACTCCGTTGTGAAGACATTCAATGCTTTGGCCTCAGCCACTTTCTGTGACAGAGAATCCCACAGGCTCACCATTCTCTGTGTGAAGATGTATCCCCTCATCTCAGTCCAAAATGGCCTAGTCTGTATCCTTAGACCATCCTCCCCTGGTTCTGGAAGGCCATGTTTCACTCGGTCCTTATGCGAGTGATTCCCTTAGGTCTCTGAACAGCTTTATGCCTATATCCGCACACGATGAGCAAAGCAGCAGCTATGGGGGTTACAGTCTGGGGGCTGGAATATACATAAAACACTGCTCCCTTGACCTGGAACTCGGTTGCTGGTTCTTTTTGGAAGACAGGAGGGCCACTGGTCTACTTTCCCCTTTCTACCCTTGATATAACTTGTGTTTTTATGATGAACGAAGCAATACTTGTAAACAGCTACTTGAGTAGGTTTCAGACAGCCAGAATAGCTCTGTAAGCTGCCTTAAGAATATGATCTAGCTTCTTTAAGTGTTTTTAATTTTAAAATGTAGCATTTTTAATAAAATTAAAAAATATTATTTAGCCTATAAGGCATTGAATAGCCCATCACCTTTTTCTCACATACGCACCCACGCTAACCTCGAGGAGCTAACAATCACCAGTGAGAATACTGTCTTGAAACAGGGTGATGGTCTGAATAAAGATCACAGCAATTAACTCATCCCAATTAGTCACACTGGGGCTTTGCATCATGTACATCATCAGTAGCTTTACCATTTCTACTCACTGTATCCTGAAATTTGAGGCGATTAGTCACAGGATATGAATTTAACTTCAGCTAAGAGATACGTGCTGAGGTTACTGATTGGTGTGTGTCTGGAGGATGATGAGAATCTTGGATTCTGAATGCAATTCTTGTTTTATTAAAAATCACTGCCAGTGCAGGCAAAATCTAATGGTTACCATGGAAACTGCAAGCATAGAGGATGATTAACGACAGGGGGATAGATCCTGACTTACGTGGAAATAAAAGTCAAAATCTTTGCATTATAAAACACTTGGTGCCATTCTTTATTCTTCTGGATGGGCTTTACCTTGTGTACCCTACCCTTGGGTGGGTGACTTCTCCTCCGTCCGGCCATTCCTGAATGCTAGCGCTTTGCATCATGTATATCATCAGTAACTTTACCATTTCTACTCACTGTATCCTGAAAGTTGAGGCGATTAGTCACAAGATATGAATTTAATTTCAGCTAAGAGATACATGCTGAGGTGCCTCACCACCGTCTTCTAGGTGGTCTGGGGGTCTTTGGGGTCCAACAGTTGTACAGGAGGACCTGGACAGTTAGCACTAGTGAGGAACTTGTCACAGCTGTGACAAGGGGGTGTGAAGTATCTTGGTCTAAGCTTTTCTTTTCATTTATACTTTGTTGGGATTTGGGCAACACTGGCAAGGCCAGCATTTGTTGACCGTTCCTAATTGTCTTTGAGCTGTGTGGTTTGTTTGGCAGTTTCCAAGGGCAATTAAAAGTCAACCACATTGCTGTGGGTTTGGAGTCACATGTAGGCCAAACCAGGCAAGTGATATTTTACAACAGTGACAGTCTCAGGGTCACCATTACTGAGATTAACTTTCGATCCCAGATTTTATTAAGTAAATTAAAATTCCACCAGCTGCGCAAGCCTCTGAATTCCTCACCCAGTGACATTACAACAGTTCTAGCATCTTTCCTCAGCTTAGCATTTGTCCTTTTCAGTCCCACCTTGGTACATAGATAATTCAAAGCAAGTTTCACTCACCAAAATCATTTACAAATTTAAATTTTCACATCATTGGTGCAATAATTAGTTGGCCACTGTTGGGATATTACCAGATTGAGGAGCCAAACCATTCATAAACCTTGCATTGCAGCACATATTTCATGACAGCAGGATGCCCCAAGGCACTGCTGCAATGTAGGAAATGCAGCAGCTAATTTCTGTACAGTTAGATCTCACAACAGCATTGTGAGCTCAACCTAACTGGTAGCTTTCCTATTTTCCTGTTGCTTGCTCTAGAGCTGTCTGCTTTTATTCAATTCCATGAGCTTATCTGGCATTTTCAAAGCTGCTTTCCGTAATAAGCATTGAGTATGAATCAGATTAAAAGTTCCAGGGTCAAACAACCCTCGTTGATGAAAACATCAAAAAGCAAAAGTTCATTAAAATCTAGTATAGTATAGAAATTGTGGAATATTTCTGTATTATAGCATCAAGGGAATAGTTATGCTGAACTGTCATTATTCTCGTCTACATGTTATGTTATTGCTCCTGTTTATTCGCTTAAATTCATTTGTTTCACTGGTGCCGCTTAAAGTAACATCTGATTCCAATGTTACTTGGCTACCTTTCAAAGGCAAGAAAGATCCAGTAAGGAGAGCGAGACAGATCCACTGGCTGGAGTAATCTACCAAAAAAGTTTTCTGGAATTGGTGTGAAACATACTTAACTACCTGGATAAATACCACTCTTCAGGGGTTAGCGTTTATCAACATGACTGGGCAAAAGAGAGCTGTGATACTCAATAAACCTAGAAACAAGGAGTGCCAGGAAAACTATCAGGTTAAAGTGTGAAGCTGAAAGTATCAGATGACATATTGGTAGGGCCTGCTAAATAAACAGTGAGACAGGTGCCTATGAGCATTCTATTTCTCTGGAGAATTGAGATAACTGTCTTTAGAAAATCCCAAAGGTGGTGTGTGAGATTTCTGAGGTCTGCTGTAGCGTGTGGAACACCCCGTTCCTTTGAGAACCACCATGTGCGGGGTTCGGGTAGAGAGGAAAACTGAAGGGGAGAAACAAGAAATGATTCAGTGCAATACTGTTCCTTGAGACAGTGCAAACTCATTGCAAT